CCTTTTGGGATGAGATATATATTATCTTATAGAACTCTCGTATTATATATATATTTGTGTATATGGACAGAATTGGAAAAGGTCTGCACAACATAGAATAACATGGAAATCGGTTGACCTGCGCCCACATAGAGAGCGAAGACAGGTCACAAGGAAATACATATATATCATCAGAGCTTCACGTGATAACCCACCTAACCTTGTCATCAAATGCGGGCATTCTCACCATCGGAATACCCGCTAGGCAAAACCGCCGCTGCCTGATTGAAATTCCAAACGTTACTTTAATGCCCTGAAAACCTGTTTTCCCGCTATATCTGCCGTCGGCTCTGTATTGCGCAAAAATATTTTGTATATCCATGATCAGCTATAAGAGCTCTACACGATGATGTATATCTTATCCCGAAAGGCGGCCGTAATTTTGAGACCTCTTCTCGTCAGCTTAAACAAATTTGTAAATGTGCCCGTAAATCTTTTCCGATAGTGTTTCCAATCCTGGATGCTATACGATAGTCACTCTCTCCGGTTTATTGATCTATTTGTATCAATGCTAACCTAACATCATCCATTCTTGATTCTCAGCTCATAACGGCATTGACATCTTCAACAATAGGTGAATGCTGTGCAGTATGGATTCATCTCGGTCAATGCTGTCCAGTATGCTGTCATTAATAGGCATTTGAGCTATACTGCAATTCAAGTGAATGCTGTCCAGTACGGATTCATTTCTGTTGGTATCAGAATGCATTTGAACTATAGTGTAACCTAGGTGAACGCTGATCAGTATGGATTCAGTTCAGTTGATATTAGAACACATCTCACCTATACTGCATTCAGGTGAAAGGTCTGCAGTATGGATTGATTCCTACAGATTTTAAAATTGTATTTGACTATACTATAATCCAGGTTAAGACTGTAAAGTATGCATTCATACCAGCTAGTATTAGTGTGCATTTGACTAGTGTACAAGAAGTCAATACTGTCCACTATGGTTTCATTTCAGTGACCATAAGTTTGCAATTGTTCTATGCTTTACCTCAGGTGAATTCAATAATTCGTTGTATGAACTATACTCAATTGCTGTTTCGTGTTTATCATTGGTTTGTTTCTGGATGCGTGGAT